ACAATATAATGCTTTAAATTTGCAAGTGAAATACAGAACATAACCTTTATTATAGCTTCTGGTACAACTATGATAATCTAGAGCAAAAAAAAGTAAATAATGTTTTGACTTTTGGATTTAATTTGTGAACCCCCTAAAGCAGCGATGGGAAACCTCGAGCCCACATGCTGAAGTTGGACAATGAGGTTTCCTCAATGTTGTTTGCTGAAGCCCCATATATACAGTGATACAGTAAAATAAATAGGAGAAAAATGAAAGATGGAAAATTAATGACCTAAAATTAGTAAATTGAACTTTTAAATATTAAAATGTTTGGAAAAGCAAGAGATTATTCCTGAAAATGTAAAGATGACTTAGGCCCCTTATACACTGCCATATAAAATCCAGATTATCTGCTTTGAGCTGGATTATATGGCAGTGTAGACTCATACAATATTATTCAAAGGAGATAATGTGGATTATCTACTTTGATAATCTGGATTATATGGCAGTATATAAGAGGTCTGAATGTCTGGTGAATTGGCATACGAAGTGTATTGCATATTTGGGATACCAATATTAGAAAGCCTTTCTTCACAGTTATCATACTTTAGTTATTTAGATTGGCCTTCCTCATCTTTACTTCCTCCAGATGTCATGAACAAGGTTTCATCATGTGTGATTATTGCTAGGTGGGCTTAAGGGGGTTATCAAATATAACATCTGAAGGGATCCAAATGGCAAAGGCCTGGTTTATTGCACTGGAAAAATACTCTGACATTGGGGAATAGGCTGGTCTAATAACCTGGTTTTAAATTACAAGTGTATTTAAGGGTCCGTTCTTTACATCACAGTTGAGTTTGCAAACAAAGCAAGAGGCAATGCTATATTTGAAAAAGGGCACAGATATGCTTTCCTAGTGCAAATCAGGAAAATGTATTTTGTAGTAAGTAGCTTTAGAACAGTTTTTTGGTGGCAGCTCCTAATTACATGAGCCTGATAATCTCCAGGGTAGCATGTAGATAACTGAAATTGAGCTATCATTGTCCATGAAGGCTGGTTTTATTATTCCCATTTATCTCCCACATTCTAGTAAACTTATAGATTCATAGAGAGGGAGGGATATCTTTCCTGTTTTATCATCAATCACACCTCCATTAGGTGAGTCCGCTGATGAAAGTGATGGAGCACTTTCATGGTTCAGTGGGAATTGGACCTGGATCTCCCAAATCCTAATCAGGGTTCTCATTGGGTTTTGAAACCAGTTTAGCCCCCCCCCCCCCCCCGGGTTGAAGTTTTTCCCGTAATAGAATAAATTGTCTAATGTGTGGATGTGAAAATAAGAAACTCTAGCACAGTAAGTTCTAATACATTATTGCAAGATAGGTAGTCTGTGTACTAAAACATATGGAAAATGTCTGTGATACTTTGAATTTCGAAACTGCCTTTCTCAGACTTTAAATCTTTCTCACCAAGGTTTTGCTTCTCTTTTGGAATTTTGGCTGGCTTGTTTCCAGCATTTTGTTGCAGTTGTCTGTCACATGCTTCTTGGCTCCATCTACTCTGATCTGCCAAAATGTGCCCTTCAAATTGTGCGTAGTCTGTATTTACTGGAGATTGGAATAAAGTAGAAGCACACCCCAGAAAGAATGGGAACACAGCCGGATGGAAAGTCTCAGATATATTATGTCTGTTGCATCTAAATGTTTTCACTGAACTAGTGAATCAGAGTCAGGCAGGCATTTGAAATGTGGGATACTTGCAAGAAGTCTACCTGCTAATTGCATGTCTGAGTTTCTTTACTATACAGAACATGAAGAGCACCTCATCTTGCAAAACTATTTTGGCATAGGTTTTATATAGCAGAAAATGCTGTACAAACAAAATGTGTTTCTGAAGCTTATGTATTTTGCTAATACTGTTTATGCTTGTTCTTTAAAAAAAAAGCTACAAATGTTTGTACTTGAGAGATGATTGAAATTATTCAAAGTAGGTTTTATGAGCTCAAATGTTTAGGACATAAAAATACATTGTAGAACCTGTTGGATCATAGTTTGGGTAATTTTCAGAATTAGTGATCGCTGTTGGTATTCCAGCTTTGTGACACTTACTAGATAACATGACTCAAAACATATTTAGGTAAGTTTTGTAAGCTCTGATATTATAGTTTCTGGTCATATTTTTGATAGAACATATGGTTGAATATTCCAGTTTTATTAATACCTTGTCCTCTGATTACAAACTTTACTCATATTTAACCTTTTAAGTACCGGTGAGGTGAATTTTATTATTCTTTCCTAAGCGACATAGGTAAGGTTTGTTTGAGATTTCTGATAAGGACAATCTAATGTATGATTTTGGAGACTGATATATTTTGAAATTTAGTGAGCTAATAGAATTAGGCAGTTTTGCATTATTTGAGAACAAAGTTATATTTTTTTTTGTTTTCAAATATGCTTACATTAAGATGAGCAGATGTGGATATTATTTCCTCCTTTCTGGTACTATATATGTGTATATATGTGTACACACACACACACACACAACACTCAAAAGCTATGTATTGAACCATAGATGGAGATGCTATCTGAACAAGGCAAGGAACAAACTTAATTATTTTTTTAAAAAGTATTCTACAAAGCCTTTACTGGAGCCTCTGCCAATCAGAATCAAGCCTCTACCAAAAAAGGTAATAACCGTGTGAGAAGTCGTTCATTGACAAATATAATGGTGCTTATATTCAGTGATGTGCACCTGATTCCTGATAATAAGATCCACATGGAATATGGTTTAGATACTCCTGCACAAGGCTTTGTGTGAACATACCTAAAGTTGGGTCCAAAGATACTAGGAGTTCACAGATTTTGAATAGCTTTCGTAACAAGCCTTGTTTTTGTAGCTACCTCAAGCTTCTGAGTGTTTATAAGTTAATAATAAATAATAATAAAACTTTATTTATACCCCGCTACCATCTCCCCATGGGACTCTGTGCGGCTTACATGAGGCTGAGAGCACAATACAGCAATTCAAGCAATAACAAATACAATACAAAGCAATTAAAATAAATCTTATACACAAAAAGCATAAACATTAAACAGAAAACAGTGCACATTTAAAATCTATGGCTGGGCCAAATGTAATTAAAGTTTAAAAAATAATGCTAGGCATGAGCAAGATACAGGAGGTGGGGCGTTGATAGAGACATACAAGCAGTCCTAAATCGATACAAAGTGCTTTTTGGGGGACATAATGCTAAGGGTTCGTTATTCTTGGAAGGCACACTGGAACAACCACGTTTTCAAGCTCCTCCTGAAGACTTTCAGAGATGGGGCATGCCTGATGTCCTTAGGGAGTGAGTTCCAGAGTCGAGGGGCCACCACCGAGAAGGCCCTCTCTCTCGTCCCCACCAATCGTGCTTGCGATGCAGGTGGGAGAGTGAGTAGGGCCTCTTCAGATGATCGAAGAGATCGTGTGGGTTCGTATACAGAAATGCAGTCACGCAGGTAGGCAGGTCCCAAACCTTAAATTGGTAAGAACCTGCAACTTGAATTGGGTCCAGAAGATGAATGGCAGCCAATGGAGCTCATTAAACAGGAGGGTTGACCGCTCCCTGTAAGCTCCACCAGTTAACAACCTGGCCGCCGCCCGTTGGACCAACTGAAATTTCCGAGCCATTTTCAAGGGCAGCCCCACGTAGAGCGCATTACAGTAGTCCATCTGGAGGTGACTAAGGCATGGACCACCCTGGCCGGATCCGCCTTCGCGAGGTATGGTCACAGTTGGCGCACAAGTTTTAATTCTGCAAAGACCCTCCTGGCCACCGCCGACGCCTGAGCCTCAAGCATAAGTGATGAGTCCAGGAGGACACCCAAACTGTGGACCTGTGATTTCAGGGGGAGTGCAACCCCATCCAACACAGGTTGCCACCCTATACCCCGGTCTGGTTTACGATCGTCCAGGAGGGCCTCTGTCTTGTCGGGATTAATCTTCAGCGTGTTCCTCCTCATCCAGACAGCCACAGCGGCCAGACACTTGTCCAGCAAAATAATGTCTGTAGGAAAGTATAAAACATTGGGCTTGGATCAGGCATGGGCAAACTTCGGCCTCCAGATGTTTTGGACTTTAACTCCCAGAAATTTCAGCTAGCTTACTGGCTATTAGGAATTGTGGAAGTCCAAAACACCTGGAGGGCCAGAATTTGCCCATGTCTGGATTAGCTCAATGACAAATGTGAAAAAGAAGAAACACAGTAACTGTTGATGTGCTTCTGGGATTTGAAGTCCATTTTCTATAGGTTTGGGGTTAAACTTGTGTGCATTTAAGAACAGATAAAAACTTGACTTTGCAGATACTTTTCTAGAACATGTTCTTATCTGTACTTTTCAATTGACTGTCTAGTTTCTAAAATGTATTCATTACACCAAGAAATTAAGCTTTGTATGAGGCTAGTGTTTGTTAGATCACTTCCATTCTGATGGTTAGACAAAGCAAATTTCATATTAGAGATGCTGAATGTTTGACAAAATGTTTACTGAAGTGAGGTTTCTCAAATTCTTTGGAATTAATACTATTTGCTGCAATTAACAATTGTTAGCATTATAGCTCATATATTCATATATGTATACATATAATATTTTTTATCAAGACTTGTGCGTAAGCAGCATATCTTTGAGTCTGAAAGACTTCAGTCTTTGCTAGTTTACTCGATGTGTCAGTAAATCATACAAAAGTGACTTTGTAGATAACTTTTGAACTCCTTGTTTCAGAATAATTCTGTTAGTTCAACTATGTCTCACCTTTAACAGTTAAAAATGTAGAACATAATCCCTTTTTTAAAAAACCCTGCATACATTAGCTGAGCATATTACCACAATTTATAGTACGTTTTAAAAACCAAAATATCTCGCCTGTCCCTATTGTTTATTTTAAAGGCTTATGAAGCAACAAAATAATATGAAACCCTGCATTGTCTATGACTGTAATTGTTTGCTCTAATTGTAGTCTTTTATTTTCTTTTCCAGTCTAAACCTTATGCATTTGATCGTGTTTTCCAATCACATACATCACAGGAGCAAGTATATAATGACTGTGCGAAAAAGATTGTCAAAGGTGAGTACTTTACCCGTACATATGCACAATCACATACAGAAAGCATGAGTGACAAATTGAATTTTTGAACATAATTCTCCATTCATTTTAGCTTTTACCTGTGATTTTGAGCTACAAATCTAGACAAGGAGAGTAGTTGATTAATATAGTTCAGGTCATACAGAAAATGAGTTTGCTTCTTAAATCACTACTTCAGAATGTTTTCAGTGTGTGAATTTTGCAAAATATACTGATAATTTTGTGAACATTTTCATGGGAAGACGGTTTGGTCTTTTCCACAAGTAGACAGAAGATTGATAAGTATCTGCTGGAATCAGTCAGTGATTTGCAATAGATTGAAGTTCACCTTCCTCCTTCAGTTTTTATTTCCTGCTAACCTGAAATAGTTTAGCCCTTGTTTGTTAGATTGATTAAAATAAGGAAGACAAAAGTCTAAATTCATGATGTAAATACAATTGCAAATCTTAAATAGATCAGTTGAATTGAATAAAGGGAATTTATATAATTGTATTAATTAATGTATTATTAATTTGAAAAAGTGGGTCCTAGAATTAATTCCATATGAAAGCTGACTGGCACAACTAGGGGATCACAACCAGAAACAGCAAAGACATCTGCCCTTGTGTTTTGCTACCTTGCTGCTGAATACGCATGCCCAGTATGGAATACATTTCACCATGTTAAAACAGTGGCTGTGGCTCTTACGTGCCGTGTTATCACAGGATGTCTATACCCTACACTGCTGGATAAATTACACTGCTTAGCCAGTATTGCACCATTTGATATCCATCGGGAAGTAGCAGCCAATAATGAAAGGACCAAAGCATTGACATCTCCGGCTCATCCTCTGTTCGGATATCAACCAACACGGCAACGCCTTAAATAAAGAAAAAGCTTTCTAAGATCTACAGAGACACTCACTGGAACACCTCAGCAAGTGAGAGTCCAAAAGTGGCAGGCTCAAACCCAGAACCTCAAGCCATGGCTGATACCAAATGAGAGACTCCCTCCCCTTGGCACACAGAAGACTGGGTGACTTTGGATATCAGTCAGCATGCCAATGTTTTAAATCAAGAAACAGTTTCCTATGGTCTACAGAGATAGTTTCAGGAACACCTCAGAAAACGAGAGTCCAAAAGTGGCAGGCTTTCACCTGGAATCTCAATCAGTGGCTGATACCAAATGAAAGACTCCCTCTCCTGGGCACACAGAAGACTGGGTGACTTGTAAGACTCTGAACAGACTGTGCTCTGGCACCACAAGATGCAGAGCCAACCTTAAGAAATGGAGCCACATAGTGGAGTCCATGACATGCGAGTGTGGAGAAGAGCAAATCACAGACCACCTATTACAATGCAGTCTGTGCCCTGCCACATGCATAATGGAGGACCTACTTACAGCGACACCAGAGACACTCAAAATGGCAGTTTCTGGTCAAAGGAAATTTAGTATAATGCCAAGTGTTTTTTTAAACTCTGTTTGTGGTTTTTATACATTATAATTGTATCCTCAATTTGCTTCTAACACGATAAATAAATAAATGTATCATTCACCTTGTGATTCAGTGGGTCTACTCTAGTTGGAATTAGCAATTAGTAAGATAAGAAGGAGTTCCTTGCACTTAAGATTTTGTGATCCTTGTTGCAAGACTTGTTAAAAACATCTGGAGAAACATTTGGTTTCAAGAGGCCTTTATGTGAGCTCTTGTGGAATTTTGTCATTAGTGTGCATTTTCTTTCCTCCCAGATGTACTTGAGGGATACAATGGTACAATATTTGCTTATGGGCAAACGTCATCTGGGAAGACTCACACTATGGAGGTAAGATGTTGTTACTGTGCTTCCTCGGTTCCCTCTGTAAATCTGAAACATACTTCTGTATCCAGAGGTAAATCTTCCAGGTGTTTGTTCCAGTTATGTTCATTATTTCCAACTTAAGGCAACCCTATTATAAGAGTTTATTGGCAAAATTTGTTTAGAGGGTTTTGTTTTTGCCTTTCTCTGTGACTTGCCCAAGGTCACCCAGTGGGTTTTCATACCTGTGCGGGGATTGATGAGCCCGATAATATTCCATCAAGTCCTGTGCATAAGTGCAGATTGCTTTTGTATGTACTACAAGTTTTCTTTTGAATCTGCTTTGTGCTATTGATATCCATTATATAACATTCCTAATGTTGAACAGTAGTTTGTGTGGGTTGCGTTAGGCAAACAAAAGTGAGGAAGGAGAGAGTATTCATATTTTATAGAGTACAGTGGGCCCTTGGTATCATCAGCAGTTTGATACTGGGACTCCCCATTGATACCAAGATCCGTGGGTGCTAAAGTCCTGTTATATTCAATGCTGATTAAAATGGTGTCCCTTACACAAAATGTCAAAATCAAGCTTTGCTTTTTAAAAAAATTTCAAGCTGTGGATATAAATCTAAATTTCTGATTAAATACACGAATAATTGGTTTGTGCATTCCATAAATTTCCCGAAGAAAATTAACATGTAGCAACTTTCCGCAGTTGAAATGAGTTTGAAAGTTCTGTTAGAGTTGGACATCATCATAGTAGTTAGTTTGGCCTATGAATTAGTTGCAAAATTAATTTTTAAAATGTTCCTTGTTAGCAATACTTTAAATGTTTTGAATAAGCAGGCTTTACAAAAATTAACACATCTTTGTTCTATATTAAGGGGAAGCTGCATGATCCAGATGGAATGGGGATCATTCCAAGGATAGTTCAAGATATTTTCAATTATATTTATTCTATGGATGAAAATCTGGAGTTTCATATTAAGGTAATTTTTTTTTCCAATTCGTATTCAAGATATTCATCAGTATAGGACATAACTGGAGATGGATATGTCCTGTTTAATTTAAAAGTCCCATCATGACATACATAAAGCTCACCAGAGGCTGCTGAACTATCTTTCTCAGCTCTCATGAGCATAGCTATAGAAAGGGATGATGAAAACTGAAGTTCAACAACTATGAAAAGCCATATGTTGTCCAGTCCTGCATTAATATGTTTGTGTTCTGTGTTTCGACTATATAAAGATTCTCAGTGTTGTTGACAATAATAATATCAGATTTATAGATATATTCCATCACAATAATAGTTGCCTATCTGTAGAAAGAGTATTGTGCTGACCTAAGATTTTTATATTCTTTCAGGTATCATATTTTGAAATTTATCTGGATAAAATAAGGGATCTTTTGGATGGTGAGTATATGCATTTGTTTTTCTTTAAGGGCACACGATTCTTACTTATATTGCTAATATAGTGTAATGGAACCAAATAGGGAAGACTAATAGCAATGCATGATAGTGTTGAATGATTTTGAGGTTAGTTCTTTAGGATGGATGAAGCAGTGAGATGCGTGGGTGGTAATAGTGTGAGAGGAGACAGAGGTCAAAGAATGAAAGAGATGATCAGCAGACAGAAATTTAGTTTGGTTGATAAAATAGAAGGTAATTAAAAGCTCGCGTCTTGTGGCAGATGCCCCAGGCTTTTACTAATGAAATCTTGTATTTGTACTATGGTGAATGCAGAATGCTAGAAATGAAAGTGCAATAAACATTTTGTTTCATGTCTTCATTTGTTTGGAAACGTGTGTATGGTACTGCAAAGTATTCTTTTAAATACTGTGTGAAAGTCCAAGGCAAGGTTGTCTGTTGGGTTTCCAACTCCAGCCAAGAGAGGCTGCTGGGAGTTGTAGTCATTGAAATATGTTTTTAATGTTTTTTGATAATGCATTGTGTGTTGTAAAATTGTATTTGACACATGTTGTGAACCGAATCTGAGTCCCTCTCGAGGTGAGAAGATCGGTATAAAAAACCCCTAAATAAATAAAATAAATAAATAAATAAAATAAATTTAATGATGCTTGCTTTTGCACAAGGTATTTTGCAAGTCAAATCACATTTCTTAACTACTCAGCTTTGTATATGTCAGCAAAAATCTTTATAATAAATCTGTAAGGCAGGTCAAATTATTCTATTATTAGAAAAAGAATTATGTAGTCTTTTGGTGGGGATATCAATAATACATTTCCAAGGGTTATTAGCTTTTGTTCAGTGCATGTAGCTGCCTGGAGCTGGAAATACATTTAATATAAATAACATGAATTTATCCTCCTGTCTGTCAGAATCTGACAAATTGTAATGACATTTCTCAAGTACACACTTGAGAAAAAAATATATTCACTTATATATCAGCTGATCTATATTTGATATGACAACCTGTGAAAGAAGTTGCCACTCTAACTCAAGCAACCAGAACTCTCAAGCAAAAAACCTGAAGAAATAATGCTCTAAATTTTTAAAAACTGTTTTATAATACAGTAAAACAGAAAAACTGTGTTACATGAAGTTAAGTTTGACTTTGTCATAATTTGCTTTTTGATATTAATACAGAGTTCATTGCATGGTATAGTATGAGGTATAGTTAGGCCTATTTTTATAATAACTCTCAAGCAACCAGAAACTACTTGTATCTTGCATTTACCAATCCTCATGGGTGCCACTTATCTGAGGGCCTGCTGTATAAATAACTCATTGCATTATAGAGTTTTTGCCACAGTTTATGGTGATGAATGCTAGGCTAGCTTTAAAACGGATATAGACAAGTTTATAATGCATAGGTTTGTTGACAGCTGTTGATGAGGACAGCTAAATAATCCTTGATCTTAGGACAAGATAATTGGTTTATCACAGCCAAAATAAGGATTCCAAAATCTGGGTATGTTTCTCTTTTCTGTTGAAAGGGAATTTAGTTTTTCTAATACTTGTTTCTCTTTCAGTCTCAAAGACCAATCTTTCTGTTCATGAGGACAAAAACAGAGTACCTTATGTGAAGGTGAGTATAAGAACTAGACAGGTATTTTGGCACTTTGTAGATATTGTTTATCTGTTAATCACATGTTTGTATTTTCAAAGGGCTGTACTGAACGTTTTGTATGTAGTCCAGATGAAGTTATGGATACTATAGATGAAGGAAAATCAAACAGACATGTAGCCGTTACAAGTAAGTGATACATTTTGCAATATATATTTAAACATAAGGGTATCTGTGTTAGCATTTTGAAGAATTACTAAATTTTGTACACACAGCTATGTGAAATTAGACTCATAGGCAACAGAACTAAATAAAGAGAATCTCTCTTAGCTATTTGGGAAAACATAAAATAAATGTTTAGTGTGGCCTTTTTTCTCATTTGCAAATCATGAGGTTTTAAACATAGACAGCCAAATTTCTTTATAGGGGTAGGAGGAGAAAAGTTGGCTTTGTCATCATCAAATTGACTAGAAGCAAGAGATGCATTGTCAGTCATGTAATTCTCTGCATCTTCTGGAAAGAGTTTGAATCCTTTCTGCTGTTGGTGTGGTATTTGTCTTATCAAGAAGAAATCTCAGTGTTGTTTGGGGCTATTGAAATGAAGTATGCATTCCCCATTCTGCTTCTACTAAGAAAATAAACACGGCTATAAGAAGGATGTATGTAACTGTAGAGTAGACCTATATCAATTCTCTTGGCCTAGTTCTGAAGCAAATATACAGAGGAATTTTGTTAGGTTTACCAAATGGCTTTTTTTGCTTTGATGATTAGGTTATCAAACTAATAGCATGCATGTTTTTACATTTCTAAAAAAACTCTCTTCCAGACATGAATGAGCATAGCTCTCGAAGTCATAGCATCTTTCTCATTAATGTAAAACAAGAAAATACTCAAACAGAGCAGAAATTGAGTGGAAAGCTCTACCTTGTAGACTTGGCAGGGAGTGAAAAGGTAATGCTTGTATAATTTGAAATTGAAATATTTGAACAAAGCATCTTCATTTTCAGTATTTGGTCTTACCAGTGGCCATAGTCTGCTTTCTCCACTACTGGTATATTCCTTTGGTAATCCTTTTTGTTCATTAACAATTTTAAGTTATTCCCCCCTAAATCTTGCTTATTTTTCATATGTGGCTCCAAGAGTAGCCAGTGGGAATTTATGATAGTTTTGCTATTTGCTATATAGAAGCTTGTACTTGAAAAATATTTTTATAATTGTGTGAGAATGCTTATTCTATCAAATCATGTGAAAATGAACTCTCACTTCATTCAGTCTATCAATTTAATCATGCAGTGTGTTTTTTCTGTCATTTGTAGTTAAAATTGGGATAACGTAATAACTTTATGTAAGTTCACTAAATCTGAGCCTTTAAATCCTTGACAGCCTTTACATCCTTAACTATTCTGATTCAAGAACGCATCATTTTGAGAATTTCCAAAATAATGGGGATATACATGCAGTCCCCAACTTACAAACTTGTGACTTACATATCAGTTTTTTAATTGGGTCCATAACCAATGTCAGAGATTGTATACAACAACTAATGGTGTGGAAGGGATTCTAATGACTCCAGTTACGGAACCGGATACCCACAGATAGGTGTAGTGGACTTCTGCAGTAACAAGAACACATAGACACAGTTGTTCTTTCCAAAAATGCACAGGAAGGCTTTTCTCTTTTTTGTTGCAGAAATATATGCAGTGTATACAATATATTCAAACTTTACAGTTTTTCTCCACTCCGATAGCATCTCTCCAACAACCACCATCCGTTCCTCATCAAACCCCATTAGGGAGAACACAAATTTTATACTTCCCCTATTACATCAGCTTCCACACCCTGATTACAGTGACACAGCACTTTCACATGTGGTTAGGCTAGAGGTATTATCACTTGAGAAATGCCAGGTAATTTACAATTGCAGCCATTACAAACAACTCATAGATAAGAATGGGGTTGAGACAACAGGAAATGAGAGAGATCCTAGGAAGGGAAACCTACTTCTGAAAGAGTCATCCTGAGAAAAAGGTGCATCCACTGAAGCTTTATTACCAATAATTGTTTCCACAACAAGCCAAATTTTTCAAAATCCAATCATAGGGACAGAAAGTGTTCTCCCTAATGAGGTTTGATGAGGAACGGATGGTGGTTGTTGGAGAGATGCTGTCGGAGTGGAGAAAAACTGTAAACAAGGGCACATACAGCAAAACAAACACCACAGGGGTGTTAACCCTTCCCTAGGCTACCCAAATTTTATATATATGTAGTCAGAACAGGTACCTTTTTAAAGTGTAACTCACACATAACTTGGGGACTTCCTGTATATCAGGAAAATACTATAATTAAGATTTCTCTAATAGAACATGAAATTCTGTGAATTTGTAACATATAGATTGATTTAGAAGTTAAATTCTCACTTCTAAGTTATTTGCGAACAGAAAACATAATGTCTACAGTTATAATGTTGGAGTATGATACATCCTCTGAGATGTTGTGTTAATTCTGAATGAAAGTGCGATGAATGATAAACATCCTTGTTTCAATTTGAAAGTCATTCTAAGCCTGCTTAGCCAAATAATATAATTTTTAAATTGTTCTCAAACAGTAAAGGTGCTTGCATGAATTGGTACTCCTTTTTGGTAAAGAAAGCTTTCACATGATTGTACTTAATCAGCAGAAGTTAGGTGTTCAAAAACATTCCTGTATTAATACCCAAATCTATACAAAGTTGCTACCTGTAAGATGTCATTGTTTCCAACAGTCACTTATAAAATGGGTCTAGGTGAGGGAGGAATATTTATATCAAATCGTTCTTTCTAGATACAGGGATAATTCAATATAATTCAGTTGTTTTTCTTAAGGACCACAACATTTTGGGTTTTTAGTTTTTTTATTGCAGTGTAGCAGAGGAGCTTTGATTTTATAATTAGATCTATCCATCTTCAAATGTTAGCGGATTCTTCACCTCTTAGCCTGATCTTCAGGAATAGTTTTTGTTATGGAGGTAGATATGTTTAATCAAGAAAGGGTTTATGAAGGACCACTGCACACTGTTTATGGATTTTTTAATTTAGGCCAAAGGTTCATCCAATAAAACGTGGTTCATTCAAACCTCCTTAGAATTTTATTTTATTTTGTTTCATGCTATGTTGTGCTATTTTGTCAGGTTAGTAAAACAGGAGCAGAAGGTGCTGTACTGGATGAAGCTAAGAACATCAATAAATCTTTGTCAGCTCTTGGAAATGTCATCTCTGCTTTAGCTGAAAATAGTGTAAGTATATTTCTCTTTTGAAAATGTTTAAATTTTAAGCCTATCTAGAAAAATAGTTTTTATAAACTGAACTTTGGATACTTTTTCTTATTTACAGACATATGTTCCATATCGCGATAGTAAAATGACTAGAATCTTACAAGATTCATTAGGTGGCAACTGCAGAACCACAATCGTCATTTGCTGCTCACCATCATCCTATAATGAATCTGAAACAAAATCTACATTGTTGTTTGGTCAAAGGTTAGTAAAACATTTAAAAGTGTAAAGTGTCAGGCATCGGTAAACTTTGGCCCTCTGGGGGTTTTAGACTTGAACTCCCACAGTTCCTAACAGCCCACTGGGTGTTAGGAACTGTGGGAGTTCAAATCCAAAACACCTGGAGGGCCAAGGTTTGCCCATGCCTAGTGTAGTTTAAAATCTAGCTGCCACATGAGCTGGCAAGTAGCCTGTATCCACTGCACATGACTGAATTCTAATCTGCCTTTCTAGAGCGAAGACTATCAAGAACACAGTATGTGTTAATGTAGAATTAACTGCAGAGCAGTGGAAGAAAAAGTATGAAAGAGAAAAAGAAAGAAACAAGACACTGCGCAACACCATACAGTGGCTTGAAAATGAACTCAATAGATGGCGTAATGGTGAGTTGTGTCACACATACCAAAGCCATGTGTATTTTTATTCTGGTATGTCACAGTAAAAAGGTTGGAAGTATATTAAAATTCAGCGAAGTTTATGGCTAGGTGCGTAACATTGTGCTTCTACAATCATAACAGACCAAGACTATCTGTTAGGACAAGGCTGCCATTACTAAATGCTACACTGTTTTTTGTTTTTTTTTAAATGTAAAAACCAGATTAGGTCAGAACTATATCAAAGCTGAGCTATTCATTCAGCAAGAGAGAATTTTGGGATGACTTTATTGTTCTTACAAATGTAAAGGATGGCTGTTCATTGAATTTCTTATGTCTAAACCAATCTAATGGGTCAGATTGTACACATATTTCCAGCAAGTGATGAAATTGCAATCTTTTGTTTTGAAGGAGAGACTGTACCTGTTGATGAACAATTCGACAAAGAAAAAGCCAATTTGGAAGCCTTTGCAGTGGATAAGGATGTTACTATAACTAACGATACACCAACTGCAACTATAGGAGTGGTTGGTAACTTTACTGATGCTGAAAGGAGAAAGTGTGAGGAAGAAATCGCTAAGTTGTATAAGCAGTTAGATGATAAGGTATGCTTTGATTGTGAATATATTTTATCTGATGTTGTATTTCTATGTCTAAACAAAATTTATTACACTTAAATCAGACATAATCCTTATTGAGTTTAGTGGAACTTAAGAGTAAACATGTTTACCTGTCCCTTCTTGGTCAGTAGATTGTTCTTGACAGAGAAATAGCACATCAATGTATTAGGAACAAAGTAAAGGAAACTGATAATTTATATTCGAAGATCAGAAATTAACTGTATTCTGCTCTTTGATCATAATACATGCGTAGTACTTGCATAATTGACCATAGGTATTTGATGCCAGTGAAAAGTGTTAAATCTAGATGTACTCGTAGTTAAGCACACTAAAATCAATGGGAAACTCTGTAATAAGCTATAGAAAAAAAATGTCTGTTTTTTTAATAAAAATCAGGATGAAGAAATAAATCAGCAGAGCCAATTGGTAGAGAAGCTAAAAACACAGATGTTGGATCAGGAAGAGGTAAGCTTTTCTATTTTAATTGCATAGAACAAACAAGGAATTATATAGCAATGAGTACAGATAAATGATCCGTATGTTAGTTAGTATTGGTTCTTTGTTGTTTTTTTTCCCTTAGTTTTTATTTAGGGTTATGTTACAATGTTTGGGCTGGGGAAAGAAGCAAAAGGAGGGAGCTCAAGGCTGCAAAAAGTCCCCAGTTGAGGCTGCTGCAGGGGCATATTTCATCAGCGCTGGCCCAACGGGGCACCCAGGAACTGTGGAACTCCCTGCAGCTGGTCAGATCAGCTGGACTGGTTGTTCTGACACGACAAATAAAAAAGCTGGAAAGCAGGGGTCTGGGGCGATCTCGACATTATTGGCACCAAAGATTCTAAACAGAACCATAAATTTGCTCCCACAACAAAAACAATGGAAGTTATTTTAGGCAACCAAACAGTTTTTGGGTCATAGTATTCTAAAACTGATTTTTGGACAAGAGTTGGCAGAGTTTTAAGAGCAGAGGCTTTATGTGACTGGGCCAGTGTAGAGACCATCCTATGGCTTTGAGAGTTTAACTATACCTAAAATCAAAGTCAGAATTGTGTGATATTCCTGGGTTTTGTACAAAGACGTTACTACTTTTACTTTCAAATTATTAGAAAACAGGAAAATACATTCAAGATACATATTTCATTGAATTGATACTTAAAATAATAATAATAGTAAAATTGTAAATAGTAAGATTGTGAAATTATAGAGTAGCTATTAGTAAAATTATAAGAATGATAAAAATAAGGGAAAACAACTATCCCAAACACTTTACACTTTACATATCCCTTGTAAAATTACCTAAATGCTGAAAATTCTCAATGGGTTTGCTTGTGAAATACAAAAATCTATGTTAATATCAGAGTTAGAGCAAAACCCAGTGTCAAGGTTAAGTCCAGACAAAGATATATGGAGTAATCTCCAATAGTTGATGTACTTTCACTTTTTGTGTCAATTACTTCTTCAGTGAGAGGTCAGCTGAATCTACCCTTGAACTTCAGTCACTGTCTTAGTTTATTATTCTTGTTCCTTGCACCTTCTCCTTACTCCCTTTCACTTTTGCCTTTATTTCAACTCCTTCTCAGCACAAGGTAACTCTTGAAACAAACAAACGGCAGCATTTTAGAATGCAGGCAGGGAGAGGATAATCACAGCCTTCCACCCTGTAGTAGAATAACAGCAGTAGAGTAGTGCTTTGCAGAAACCACAACAACGATTATAGGACAAGTTATAGGACAAATGCTGCTTCAGCTTCTGGAAGCCATAGAAAGCTAAACAGGTCAGCTTGTCTCTCACCCGTCTTCTTTTATTTCTTTGTTTATTTTTCTTCAGGTTGATTAATAGAGTGTTGCTGGTTAAGTCCAATACTCCTTCCGAGATAAGAGTGATTTGGCAGTGACTTATCAGTTTGTTGTCAGTATTCCTCTCTAATGATTAGCGAGTGAAAAGTCGCGGCTCTGGCTACACCGCCATTTTTCCTCGGTTGAGAAACACTCTAGCTGTCAGTTAGTATTGGTTTTATGGGTAGGACTTCTGATTTTGTTATAAATGCATGAGAAATGAAGCCCTTGTTATCAATAATCTGTAGATTCTTTTAAAACACTTTTGAAGGCCATTGACTTACATGAATTTTGATTTATTAGTGTTTCTAGTGTTTCAGGATTTGCAATGGTGGCTAGTCAGTCTTATTACAAAACCTTTTAGTAAACTGACTAGTTAAAAGCCCACAATAATTAAGCATCAGTACTAGTGGTAGCAGCCCCATTTTTGCTGGCTTCAACTCTCCTTGTTCTCCTGTGCTTGAAATCTGTTCTGAAGCATTTTCTTGCCATTTAAATAGTTTCAGGTTTTTGGGACCTCAAGACTGAGAAGAGGTTGCTTTCCTATTGGATAGTGCTCCTGATAACTGCTTCTGTGGGAGCATTAACAGGATTGGATATACACAAGGATATGCTTAGAAATAGTAGCCTGTTCAACAACCACAAAAGTTGCGGATAATTGCATTAGGAATTCTGCGAGGAATAAATTAAAAATCCATGCTTTGATTTAATTGAAAAGCTGCTTTAAAGTACACTATTGACATGTGTTTCTTTGGTAGCTTCTGGCTTCTACCAGGCGGGACCAAGATAATATGCAGGCAGAATTAAATCGCCTTCAAGCTGAAAACGATGCCTCTAAAGAGGAAGTAAAAGAAGTGCTCCAGGCCCTTGAGGAGCTTGCTGTCAACTATGATCAAAAGTCACAGGAAGTAGAAGACAAGGCAAAAGAATATGAGCTTCTTAGTGATGAATTGAATCAGAAATCGGTAAGAAATCAGAAAAGAAAGAATAAGAGCCTGCAATATAACTCCTTTGTGAAATATTAACCATTAATAAACTGAATCTCTTGCAGGAGTAGTTTTTAAATATATATTTGTACAAAACTGTATTCACAGTGTGGTGCCATTAATACTGCAAACACTATCTCAGTGTTTCAGACATGCATTTGTGATTCCTTCTATGTTCTAGAATGATCTCTTACATTCCTAATTTATTCCTGGTATAATCCCATCCATTTGAATTAGTACACTTACAAAAAGAAGTAAATAAAAGGCAGTTTGTTCTGTAGATTTGCAGGAACTGTAATAAGGCAGTTGATCTATTTTTCAAACTGTTGGTTAAGAAATCCTTTCACTGTTGTATCTTAGTAGTTTTAGATTATACTAGTGTCTTGTGTGGAGAATTAATATGTGATAATCTTTCTCTTCCATCTCTAGGTAACATTAGCTAGTATAGATGCAGAACTTCAAAAACTTAAGGAAATGACTAATCATCAGAAGAAACGTGCAACAGAAATGATGGCATCTCTATTGAAAGATCTTGCAGAAATAGGGATTGCTGTCGGAAATAATGATGTGAAGGTAAGCTGAGCTGCACTTTTGAATTCTAGCCCCCCTCTCTCCTTTCCCTTCACCGTAGATTCCAGTTTTTGAAACAATTATAATTTCTCTGTCTGCAAATATAAGTGCAACTTCATGGGAATGTGTAATGTTATTTTCTAGTATTGTATATGTGATGCTTTCAAGTATGGTTGTCAGTGGCTTCTTTTCCATCCAATATTGGTGCTCCTGATTCATTTACAGGGAGCATTTTGAGGGCAACGAAGACACTAGCTTAACATTGACATGGATAGCAATATTTTATTTCTTAAAATAAAGATTTTAAAATTTGTGCTGCTTTAGATGCCAAAAGCAGCAAAACCTCTCTGAGGGGCCGCCTTTTGTCTACCTACTGAAGCTCCCATGGAATGCCGCTGTCATCTACCATTATTTTGAAAGGCATTCTATTTGAAATCAGTGCTGTTCTTATTAGGATGGCCTATTTAATTATTTTGAAGTGCCTTTTATTCCAATTCCTTCTTAAGCTAAGTTTTTTTTTTAATCTGTGTAGCGATCTGCCATGGGGGAAGGCATGTATGAAATAAATAACTTCTTTTTCAAATAATCATCATCAACATCATCTTTATTTTTATACTGTCCTATCTCCCCCGGAAGACTCAGGGCGGTTTACACATAACAATGGCAAATATTCAATGCCCGACATATACCAAAACATTACAGCAGTAAACATAATACGGAATAATAACAATATTGTACTAAGGGCCCTCCTGATCGTGCAGCGGGTTAAACCACTGAGCTGCTGAATTTGCTGACCGAAAGGTTGGCAGTTCAGATTCGGGGAGCGGGATGTTAGGCCCAACTTCTGCCAACCTAGCAGTTTGAAAACATGCAAATGTGAGAAAAGTTACCGCTTCTGTGGGAAGATAATGGCACTCAATGCAGTCATGCTGGCCACATGACCTAGGAGGTGTCTACAGACAATGCGAGCTCTTTGGCCTAGAAATTGAGATGAGCACCACCCCCAGAGTTAGACATGACTGGGCTTAATGTCAGAGGAAACCTTTACTTTACTAATCAAATTAAATTAAATATCAAAATAAAAACATAGACCAACTAATCACTAAACAATTACATTTATGAGCCTGGTCAACAATAAAACATTTATCATAGTCAGCACAATGTATTGTCGAAGGCTTTCGTGGCCTGAATCACTGGGTTGTTGTAGGTTTTTTCGGGCTATATGGCCATGTTCTAGAGGCATTCTCTCCTGACGTTTCACCTGCATCTATGGCAAGCATCCTCAGAGGCAGTGAGGTCTGTTGGAACTAGGAAAATGGGTTTATATATCTGTGGAATGACCAGGGTAGGACAAAGAACTCTTGTCTGCTGGAGCTAGGTGTGAATGTTTCAACTGACCACCTTGATTAGCATTTGATGGCCTGGCAGTGCCTGGGGCAATCTTTTGTTGAGAGGTGATTAGATGTCCCTGATTATCAGCACAATTAAAATTGGGTAAGCATTTGACTGTTAGTTGTTCTTAACTGTATCATAATGGTCATGAAGTACAGGCAGGACAGCCTGTTTTTCAATGGCATTACTAATTACTAATAATGCCAAATAGTAGCTGTAAACTTCATAGGTTCTCTAGCTAATATATTTTAATTTTAAAGGTTAAACAACAAAAGCCACTATCTGCCACAAGTAGTAACTTTGCAGTAACTTTGCAGAAAATCAATTTGCTTTCCTTTCAATGTTCCTCATGTGAATGAGATGGCAGGGAGAGTTTACTTTTGTTACAGTTGATCTGGCAGGTACATGATGGAAAAAACCCACTTTGCTAAACTTGGAATTTGATGCATAATCAGTTTCTAGATTTTGAAATGATTGAAATTTAACACTAGTTTTTTCTTCACAGCAGCCAGAAGGAACTGGCATGATAGATGAAGAATTTACAGTTGCAAGACTCTACATCAGTAAAATGAAATCTGAGGTGAAAACTATGGTAAAACGCTGCAAACAGTTAGAAAGTACACAAACGGAGAGCAATAAGAAAATGGAAGAAAATGAAAAAGAGCTTGCAGCCTGTCAGCTTCGTATATCACAGGTAAATGTTGTTAATCCCTGTCAATTAAGTAATATCTGATTTATTGTTTTGTGAGATGTAGGAAGATTGCACTTTTAAAATCTTTATCAAAAAGCGAGACTAGTGTCACAATGTTTTACAGTAAAGGAAGACAAATAGACTAGTAAATGGCTTACTTGTTTTGTCTTCATATCGATTCTGGTTTGCCATCCTGCCTCCAAATATTCACTGCTATAGATTCTTAATGTGCCAAAGTTACATATGTTTTAGATTAAGATTAGAAGAGAGCACAAGTACTAGTGAACTCCAGAAGGCAAAGATGCCAAATAACAAGTTTCTGTAGTGTGTCTTCTTAAATTTCTCAAATGGTACTATGTAGGATTTTGCTATTTCAACCAGAGTTATTAATAAGGTTCGTTTAATACTACTACTACTACTACCACTAATAAAACATTTTGTTACCCACCTCTCCTCATGGCTCAAGGGTGCTTTGAATGTGATTTTCCTGCTTCTTGGCAGGGGGTTGGACTGAATGGCCCACGAGGTATCTTCCAACTCAATGATTCATGATTCTAAAGCCATCACAGCACAGTCAAAACACATCAACATAAAATACATACAATAAAATACACACATTGAGGCACATTACTATACAATATCTATATTAAAACATTTTAAAGTTCAGTAATAGCTTCTATTGATGAAACGAGCTGTAAATGTTAAAGAATAGGAAAGACTGATCAATGTTACTGTTCGAGAGAAATGCCTCCAGATGATTTTGGCTTGGTACAAGTGTAGTTTAGGAGCAACTTTTAAAGGCGGTACCATGTTCACATATTGTCAAGACCCAGGCGAACCAATGAGGCGAAACGTTGAGTTACAACACATATAATGAATGTATTTCCTCATGTATGTGCTTTTCTGTCAGTAAATTTTGATTTTCTAAATTAAAAGTACAAATATTTCAAAATTCTTCAGTTTATTTGTACCTGCCTTCTTGTAATGTTGATCATATTTTCATCCTGGAAGCATGAAGCCAAGATCAAGTCACTTACAGAGTACCTTCAGAATGTGGAACAGAAGAAAAGACAACTAGAAGAATCCGTGGATTCCCTAAATGATGAACTGGTTGAACTCCGAGCTCAAAGTATGAATTACTTTTATGTTTTTGCTTTTAAATGTACAGGTAGTCCCCAAGTTACAAACGAGGTAGGTTCTGTAGATTTGTCCTTAAGTTGAATTTGTATGTAAGTCAGAACAGGTACATTTTTTTAAGTGTAACTCCAGTCAATATATATTAGCACACATTTCACTCGTGAGTGCACACATTTCACTTGTGAGCCTCTGTAAACCATCTAACTGGTTTTGGAAAAGAGTGCTCAGCAAGATCAGCCATTAGTCTTGCTCTTCTATTGTTTAAGGTGCATATTGTTTGTATAAGTTGCATATTATTTTTGGAGTGGCCCAAGAAGATCTTTTAATAGATTGACATTGAATAGATTTAGATAAACACCTGCTTCTGTCCACCTGCTGAAAACTTCTTTTTTTCTCTCCAGAAAAAGTTCATGAAATGGAGAAGGAACATTTAAACAAGGTTCAGACTGCAAATGAAGTCAAGGCAAGTGAAGTCTTGGCATCTTCTAATACACTTTTTAAAATGTAATTTCTGATTATAGTGTAAAGTAACCAGAACATTTGCTTCTTTAGCAAGCTGTTGAGCAGCAGATTCAAAGTCACCGTGAGACCCATCAGAAGCAAATTAGCAGCCTGAGAGATGAAGTTGAGTCTAAGGAGAAACTAATTACTGAACTTCAAGAGTAAGTTTTGCAAAAACTACTAGATTCGATGCTATGTGAGAGAGGGAAATAGCACTCTGAATTTATTTCTAAGGGCAAAATTAATTTTATAGTGGAAGAGTAGAAATACGATTTTGATCTCAGTTAGCCTTGATTCAAATCTGATTTTGCATTTTTTTCCCAAAATAATAGAATTTTAATGTTAACGTTATAGAAATCGAAATGTATAATCAAAATTATAATTAATTATTATATTTATGTATACCCTGCTTTATTTCACCCAAAGGGGGCTCAAAGTGGCTTGACATAAAAGCATTAGTATACCATTTAAAATATACAATATACAAACGTTAAAACAGAATTAAACACAAACAACACTAAAAAAAATTACAGTTAAAATTGGCGTGGATTTCCTGTTTCTTAAATTTTTCTAAATTTCACTGTTGAATCTAGGGTATTGGTTGACAGTCTTAAAGACGTGTGTTCTGCCCTAACTGAATATTATCTTCTGTGGCCTGTGATCTTATTAGTAGAAAAAGAGCCTGTTTGGATTATGTGTTCTGTCATCTCACAAAATGAGGACATGTTGGTCTTTTAGGATGTTTTTAAACTTTTTTTCCCTTCATGTGTCCAGTCAAAATCAGAAAATGATGCTTGAGCAAGAACGACTCAGAATTGAGCATGATAAATTGAAAACTACAGATCAGGAGAAAAGCAGAAAACTGCATGAACTTACGTAAGTAGGACTGTTAATCGAGACGACTTGTGCTTGGGGATGTCTGATATTGATCTGAAGAAACCACATTCTCACATGATGTTTTGAGTAATAAGGTCCTGCTCTTGTACAGTTAATACAATTCAAGTATGGATAAAATAATAGTGTTATTTCAGCATTTTTGTTTAATAGCAGTAATTGGAAAATGATAGACCCTGTATTGCAGTGGAAGCTGTTGAGCTACTTTAAGAGTATCTGTTATTTAACACTAAAAAACCCCAAAGTTTTCCCAAATCAGTACAGTAAATAAAGAGCAACACTTAAAAAGCAGGTGAAATCCTGACAATCAATCAGGGCCAGCTAATTCCTCCCAACAAAGGATCTCCCCAGGCAGCAATCATCCAGGCTTTGAAGCTGCAAGGCCATTAAATGCTAATCAAGGTGACCAATTGCAACATTCACTCTTGCCTCAAGCAGGCAAGAGTTTTTTCTCCCACCCTGGACATTGCTTAGATACATAAATCTCACTTGCCTAGTTTCCAACAGACCCCTCAACCTCTGAGGATGCCTGACATAGATGTGGGTGTAACGTAAGGAGAGAATGCTTCTGGAACATGGCCATACAGTGCATTGAAATTGTCTTGCCTTCCACTGTGCCCTTCCATTCTGCCCAAAATGCTGTTCTGAAGGATTTCCCAATTCACTTGAGCAGGCTTTGAACACAGCTGGTCTGTTTGTGTCTGATGTTATCATAGTAAGTAAATTTGTGTCAAAGGAAAAGTGAATCATATTATTTTAATGATTTAAGTGTGTGTGTGTATGTCTCCAGGGTTATGCAAGATCGGCGTGAACAAGCAAGACAAGACCTGAAAGGTTTGGAAGAGACTGTGGTAAGCTACGTATATTCAGAACATGTCTTTGAGATTCTTGAACTTCCCAATTAAGAACTTTACAGTTAAGCTACATTTATTTTTTTTCAGGCCAAAGAACTTCAGACCTTGCACAATCTTAGAAAACTGTTTGTTCAAGATTTGGCTACAAGAGTTAAAAAGGTAACATAAAACTTAATTAGTGCCTTCATTCCATCAATATTTTGTTCATGTTCCTGAGAAATAAAATCTTGGGTTGTGTGTCTTTCCTTCCATAGAGTGCCGAGATTGACTCTGATGACACTGGCGGCAGTGCTGCCCAGAAGCAGAAGATTTCTTTCCTTGAGAATAATCTTGAGCAACTCACAAAAGTCCACAAACAGGTAACCTGTGATCTTCTTGAATATCTACTGCTTCCATAACCAAAAAGCATGCCAGGGTCTCTATAACAGTAGCATTTAAAAGAGATGTCTGTTTTATAGACTCAAAAATTCTTTCGCTTATGAATTTATGTCCTTAAATTGCCACAAGTGATTGATACACGGCTATAAAATTCATTTAGGATATTCTTGCTTGGTTCAAACTATGTTCATTTTGTAAAAATAAGAACTTAGACCAAGATCTTTTATAAAGCTTTTGGGCCATAAAGTTCCACCAGTATATTTATGTTGCATTCTGGTTACCAAGATGGAAAGACAAGAGAAAGCAGCAACATGAGGCTTGTGCACAGATTCAGAGTGGTTAGTTCCCTTCGGCCTGTCCGGCTTAGTCACATGGCCATAATGGTAAGGGCTCAGCCGTCACTTTTTTTCGTCCGGAACGGGACCACATGGCAGCCGATCACAGCCCCTCCTCTAATTGGCACCACGCGGCACACAAAGAGGCTGCAGTGTGCTGCTTGCATGGGGTTTTCCTGTGAACCCTGCTTGTTGGGCCAATCAGAATAGAAGAACACCGTGATGTGTCCTATGCATTGTTTCCTTAACCCTGTTGCTCAAACCCAGACTCCCTTGAAAGGAAGATAGGAAAGGGTCCCAGGAAGGATGCTTCCTTAATCCCATTCTTCAAACCCAGACTCCCTTGAAAGAAAGATAGGAAAGGGTCCCAGGCACAGAAAGGGGAACCTCGTAAGTTCCCCATTTCCACCAATAGTCCAGATCTTCCCAGATCTTTTGTCTGCCTAGCCATAAACAATTTTTCCATTAGCCAGTTTTCAGGAGGCTCCCAAAAATGGATCTGAGTACTCAACGAAATCCGGATACCAAAGAGTGATCACCCACCAGCTGACTTGCACAAGCCAAATAATTTGAGTCAGCAGCCCTTTGGCTTCTTTTAGGAAAAATGATTACCTGTGGAAGTACAAAATATGCAGTACAGTAAAAAAAATTTATCATAAGTCTTGGTTTCCCTTACTATTTGTTACCCAAATTGTAGCATTATAGCGAACAAACAGCTTTATTCATTATGCAAGATTATGAAAAATGAAATGATATGACTGAGATCTATGTAGGTAATATGTATTCATATATATGTGTGTGTGTGTGTATATATATATATATATATATCTTTCTTCCTAGCTGGTACGAGATAATGCAGATCTTCGCTGTGAGCTTCCAAAACTGGAAAAACGACTTAGAGCTACAGCTGAAAGAGTTAAAGCTTTGGAGTCAGCACTAAAGGAAGCCAAAGAGAATGCCTCTCGTGACCGCAAACGATATCAACAAGAAGTAGATCGTATTAAGGAAGCTGTGAGGTCAAAGAACATGATCAGAAAGGCACATTCTGCACAGATTGGTTAGTAGAGAAAAGGAGGCATTAATCCTTGAACTGAACATGCACTTGATTGCCAGGCCCTGGTTCTTGGTCACTCAGTGGTTTTGTTTTGAAAGGGTGAGAAAGCACAAGATTAACTGTAATTTCTGTTAAGGTCTCAATCCTTTCATTTACTTTAAATTCCTATCAGAGTCTATTGAGAAGGATGAGGTAAAAATGATCACAGAGTACTTATTGTTGGTTGCAGAAATAAATACCATATTTATGTTGAAATAATTCATATCTCGCTCTTTGGCTGAAATAGCCCCCAGAACAGCTTAGGGCCCTTCCACACAGTCCTGTATCTCAGAATATCAAGACAGGAAATCCCACATTATCAGATAACCCAGTTCAAAGCAGATATTGTGGGATTTTCTGCCTTGATATTCTGGGATATAGGGCTGTGTGGAAGGGCCCTAAGAGACAGCAGGAATAACAGTTCATTGAGCAGGATTAACATTGATTAACATTGATCATTAGAGGAAAAGAGATTGGGAAGAAGGGAGAACTGAAAGAAAGTCAAATACTAGTTTCTTAGTTATGTAGATCAGGGGGTTTTGTTTTATGCAGTGCTGCCTGTCTCTTACAGCTTTCCTCATGAAGCTCAATGTCTAGAGTATGGGTGGGGAAAGTGTGGGCTATGGTTGGCACACAGCTCCTCGCCCTGGGACGTTTTCTCATGTTTTGCTTCAGGAACGCTTCCTGTTGAGGAGAATAGGGCCTTCCTTAGACCTAAATAACTCGGAAAAATCTCTTTTCCTTGTAGCCTACTCTACTGATTTTTCCAGTTGTTGCAGCACTAACAGAGTGCTGGATTTTGTCCCAGCTTCCACTAATGTAGTAAAAGTATCACTAATAATAAACAACCAACAGTTATTTATGAATGTCACAACATGAACTGTCATGATGGAGTATCTTTGACTAGAATCTATTCCAAGAGACTCTTGAAGTAAATAGCCTTTGAAAGCTTAGGCCATAATTTGCTGATTGGTCTATAAAGTGCCACAAAACCCTTAGTCAGTTATCCTATCTCCCTTCATGGGAACAAAGCAATATAATTGGGACAATGAAGTAACACAGCTGTGAAGATTTGAAGTATATTGGCAAACTAGTTATAAAAGATCTTCTTGAATAGGAATGTGTCTCTATCACTTTCCTAGATCTTAAAGAAGTATTTTTTGTTTCTTGCTCCCATATATTATGTGTCATTAAGCATTTTCCAGATGGCTTGGCCTGAGAATTTAACATTGAGGTTTGTTTCATGCAGCGAAACCTATTCGTCCTGGTCAGCATCCTGCAGCTTCTCCAACTCATCCAAGTGCAATTCGTGGGGGAGGCGCTTTTACTCAAAACAGCCAGCCAGTTGCTGTACGTGGAGGTGGAGCACGGCAGGAGAAAGTGTAATTTGACACTACCAAGGTTGGCTTTCTACTTACTTATTCTGCCAAAAGTGCTGTGTTTAACTTTCTGATCAGTTTTGTGTGCTTGCCATAGATGATCATTTCAGCTTGTCACCCACCTAGCCAAGACTAACTTTGGTTTTCAGCTGTTTTACAAGTAACACTGAGTGTAATAGAAATCAGTCCTTTAAAACTACATTAAAATATTAAGTGTAATCAGTTTAGATGTGAATTCTCCTTCAGAGTGTTTTCAGTGAATGGCTTTGTAATAGACATAACTAACTAGTCTGTATATCTGCATTTAATGTATTGTAAATAGATTGCCAAGCAAGTTAGTATTGAATTAAACATTGTGATTCCTTAATTTTATGTAGACTCTGATTATACATCATCTTCCCTAAAACCATGGAATAAAGTAAAGGGCCCCCTGGTGGTGTAGTGGGTTAAACCACTAAGCTGCTGAACTTGTCTGAAAGGTCGGCGGTTCGAATCCGGGCAGCGGGGTGAGCTCCTGCTGTTAGCCCCAGCTTCTGCCAACCTAGTAGTTCAAAAATTTGCAAATGTGAGATCAATAGGTACCTCTCCAGTGGGAAGGTAATGGCGCTCCATGCAGTCATGCCAGCCACATGACCTTGGAGGTGCCTACAGACAACGCTGGCTCTTTGGCTTAGAAATGGAGATGAGCACCACCCCCCAGAGTTGGATACGGCTAGACTTAATGTCAGGGGCAACCTTTTCCTATGAAAAGAGTAATAGATAATTGTGTTAAGAACGCTGTTTGTTTTATTAGGTTATAATCAGACTGTGAAGAAATTTTGTGATGTTATTTTTGTGTCTCCATATAAGTTTCTCTGGCTGTTTCTAGATGCTGAAAAGTACATGCAGCAAGAAGAGGACTGGATATCGCGCAATGAGAGTCATTCCATGACCGTGATCTCTATCTGTTTCTCCCTGGGGACTGTAGGATTCTTTTTTGAAAATTGTGTAAATTTATTCTGGTCTGTACAGCTCTCCTCATGATATGAATTTGGCCGATTGATTCCCAACAGAACTAGGAAAAAGCTTGTTCCTCTTGGAAAATTGACGTGTAACTTAAAATGTAGCTCTCATTACATGATCTGTCCTTCACGTCTTAAATTTAGTCTGCACTGTGCCAAGTTGAATGTATGTTAAGCAACATCTTAGTTTTAAAAAAAATCTTGCTTAATTTATGTATATTTAATGGTCCTAGGGTTATGGAACAATGTTGAAGTAAGTTTCAATTTTACCACTTTAAATAACACTACTTGGCCCACTCTTGAAATAGAGCAGCACTGTACATTAAATTTGCCCAAATGGCTGTATAGCGTATGAGACTAAACTTATTTGTACAGTATGCAGTTCCTGCGGGTTGATTAGGAAGACTGCCTTTAGGCACTGAAGTCTCAGAAACATGGAACTACCGATTTCTGTTTTGGTGAGGCTTATTTAACTGTTTGTTTAAAACTGTTATTGGAATAATGAGTTAATACTGTATAGCAAGTAGTAAAAGTGTAAGTTTATATGGGAAAACTTGGCAATGACTTTCGTCTGTCCTGTTCCTGACGACACGCTGAAATAGTGCGATGAGGTGAAAACATTCTGCTTCATCTTGATGAGCCTCTTAGTGGTGACCGGAGCAGTACACATTTGGTTCACTGCTGTAGTAACAAACTGGGACACTATAGAACACCTCTTGCTTTATTAACCCTTCATCGTTTTTATTTTATTCAACCTAGAAGTCAACTTAAAGAGAATGTAAATTGATAAGCTAATTGGAATGAACCAAATTGAATGAAACAAGCAAAGTGTTGTAACATGGCCAGATATGTCAAATGAATATGGGAATTGAGCTACACTGAAAATGTACTGTAATTTTCTTGTAAAAATAGATTTATTTAAATAGCCATTTCTCCAGAGATCTTGTCAGACATCTTGCTGCCTTTTAATTTTTTCCCCCACAAGCAACATCCTCAGCCCTGCTTTAAAACATTGAGTCTTTCCCTAAAAGAGCACTTGAAACTACATCCCATGAAGTTCAAATAATGCCTTTGATGGGGACTTCCTGCTCAATCAATTCCAAAGGTTTTAGAATGCTTTCTTGTTAGTCACTAGGTTAAGTAGGAGGCAAAAGAATCAGCTTTTGCAACAGTGAAGACATTCTGAATAGCCGCTTTTCCAGAGTATGTTGATGCCAGTTTTATATCTTCGTACTGAACATTCACAGGCACTTCGGGGAGGGAAAGGTTTTCTGTAGCTCTTTGACTGACTTTTTTTTTTTTACAAATTAAAGTATTTGTATTATGGAGGAGCTTACTAATAGAAAAGATAGAGTGTTTTTTTTTTTCTATTCCTTAACTTCTGACGTGTCTTTTTTTAAACAATAGTCTTTAGAAGTTGGAATTTTTTAATCTGTCAGACCCTTGCTGGTTTAAATGGTCGTAATGTAGGCCTGCCCTTTTTTTGTGCTTGAATTAAAACACTCCAAACTGAAGATGAAACACTTTTGGAAAGTAAGAGGGGACATGTACAAAGGGAAAAGGGGGTATTTAAAAAATATTTGTGTTTTCATTTGCCATGGCCTATGTCAGTTCTTAACATTAGCCACACCGTTTTCAGTCCCGAATCATTTTACACAGTTCCAAGTCTGGTTTCCTGGCATTTTGTTCAAATGAAGCAGGATATTTTCTCATGGCTGTTTATGGTAGTGCATTCTTGTAAGTAATGTATCACGGGTTTTGGTGCTGACATGGCTGTGTAATTAAGCAGTGAAATAAACTGTAGCTAGCATGTAGCTCAAATTGTACATCATTTTTATACTTGTTTTTTTTAATTATTATTATTACTTTAACCTTTTACGACGTTTACCAAGAACCGCAACCTAGACTTTGAAAAGAACCCCCTTTTAAGTTTCTTGGATCACTTGTGGTAGGTTGCATGGTCAGGACAGCACCAGGTTTTGTAAATTTGAAACCTTGAATCTGCAATAGAATTTCAAATGCATTGCTGTTCCACTTTAAAGTCCTTTGGTCTTTCATTCCTCCAGGTCATCCAGAAACAGTAATAATGGCCTTGGGTGGGAACTGGGTGACAATAAAGAACTATTTATTCATGGCGACCAGCTAAATTATTTGCATAATCTTACTTATAAAATACTTTGACTCTAATTTAGACTTACAATGACAAACGTTTTTCCTGTGGACACAGTTGTTTGTTCTGAATTCATGAGAATGCACTGAAGAATAAATGGTTTGGAGAAGATGCCATATAGTTAACAACCTGCATGCTGTAAATGTTTTTGTGTGTTAAATAAAGAAAATCTTTGAATTTTTTTTAGCAAACTTCATTGAGACCCACACCACCTTTGAAAGTAGTAGCTGTAATATTGCATAAATTTTGGGCGTGTTCCTATATTTTGTTTTAGGCTAATAAAAGAGGGGTAAGCAGTTTGAACCTAGCAGTTCGAAAATGCATTGATGAGGCATGGATAACAAAAAAATTAGCTACTAAAATTGTGGAGATGGAAATATTGCCTAGAGACGTTTCAGACCA